TACCTAATGTGTGTTCAAATACTTGCATATCTATGTCTAATACGAGTATGTTTTATTTGGTGATCTAGCTATTTGATACTCCTGACCTGGCAATTCAGATACACAGTTTACAACAAAGATGCGACATACTTTATGTTTGGATCTGTCATTACATATATATGTACATATGTGTATGTCCTATTTCTTTATGAATCAATATAGATGCACGCCTGGACAGAATAATAGATGTGAGAACATTTTAAAGAAGAAGAAGAAGTTGGTATCCTTTATGGGTGCAGGAATCGAAATAAACATCAAGAATAATGGCGGATATTCAGGGAATTAAGTGTGATCTAATCGATTCAGTACAACACGGGAGCATACATAACAAAATTTCAATATTTTTACAAATTCAGTTATTTTTATAGTTTGTAAAGCCTTTTATTATTTGTGTACATTGAACGCGTATGAAATTCAAACATTGAATTAAATAAATGAATAAAAAAATATTCAATACATATATACATAAGTGGAGATATATGTGTGCAGTATAGAATTAAGTCAACAAACAGCAACAACAACTGCGGGCAGATGTTGGGCCAGATTATATTTATGGCTATAACTATAGCTATAATTGACCTATCATGATGAAACTTGTCATACGGACACACAATCACTAACTGGGTGTGACTACCAAATTTTAGTTCAAAATTCCAAGAATTACGGGAGTTATAGAAAATCGGTAATAGGGGGGGAGTGGGGGGGTGGATCAGAAAAAATGAACAAACTCGTCCTTTCTCGGTCTCAGGAGAATCTGTATACCAAGTTTGGTTATTCTAGCTCTTATACTTTCGGAGATCCTTGCGTTCATACAGACAGACAGACGGACAGACAGACGGACAGACGGACAGACGGACATGGCTATATCGACTCGGCTTGTCATGCTGATCAAGAATATATATACTTTGTGGGGTCTACCAAGCCTCCTTCTGTGTGTTCCATGTGCACTCGCACAAAACTAATATACCCTTGTACCCTTTGGGTACAGGGTATAAAAACATCAAATTAAATTTGAGAAAAATATTCAAACTTACTATGGAATATAGTAAATTTAACTCTTTGTTATTTGAAGTGGGCGCATATTTAAATTTAATGTAGTCCAACATTTAATTGAATATGACACACTTTATTGACAAATATTTACACTTTGTTCTGAATATTATTCATATTTAAATCAATAATTGAATATGTTTTTAGTTAAATTAACGTTGTTTATATTTGATTCGAATATCAAACAGTAGAACATTAAATTGAATATGAAAATATTCATTTATACTGTCCACATTTGTTTTGAGTGTACAATAATATCAATATACTGTATTTTAAATAGCATTTCAATTTATAGGCTTTGGTGGTGAGTTTTTGATTTTAAATTTATTTAAATTGCTTCTTCCAAACCACTCTGATTCGCCTTTCTGTAATACGAAAAGTGTGCAATAATTTGGACCGCCTCGAGTGCCACAAGCAGAAATCAATCTCAACATGTTGTGCAGCATACTTTTGGGGTTGCATGCGTTTAAGCTCAGGTTCGCACAAGCTTTGTGCTTATTCTCAGACCTGGTTGGCTTTACTTTAAAAAGCTTAGTAGATTTGACTGTGGGGCAGTTGCACATTTGCTTGTTTCACTCGAGTGGGTGCTGCCACAGCCACAACCACAGTTAGAGCCACAGCCACAGCCACAGTCGTCGTCAATTTGCATGCGTATATGATTTTCACGTTCGCTGATGTGGTTTTTGTTGCTGGGCCATCGTAACGCATTTAACGGCCGATGCCGGCTCATATTTCTCTAGCTGTCTCATGGCGTCTACACAAATCATCGAACGCAATGTTTGTCCAAAAACATTTAAGTGCGTGGCAACGGTTGCTGCTGCTGTTTTTTCTTTTGTTTATGTATCTGTTTGCTTTTTTCCACAGCTACTTGTATGTGTGTGTTCGTCGATTTTCCATAAGACTAAACAAGACCGGATAAAAAACCAGACAAGTATGCCAAGGGCAATTTCGCCTCTGATTGATTTACAAGAGGTGTTGCAGAGAAGCGTATGGCTGGCGCACACGGCGTATGCGTAATATAAATAGCTCCGGGGCATTAGCAGCCTTTAACAGCTACTTCTTTCTTCATTAACTTGTTATTTTTCTGACAGCGTGGCCGATCAACTGGACAAGAATAAAAAATTGGACAATTTGTCTGAGACAAAGCGCTGCACAATAACTTATTAATTACCGTACATACTTGTACATGTTTTCGATTAAGTCATAAATTTAATTTTTGCAACTAATCAATTAATTTTATCTTTCGGCTGTCTAAATTCTAGCTGAATAGAAAAAATTGGTTTTAAAAATACACTCGCGGTAATTATAAATACTTGCCAAAGAATCTGAAGCGTTAATAGTGTATAGTATATATACAAGTTAATTATAAAACAACAATGAATACAATTTGTAGGCGCTTGTACTTATATCTGTGTTAACTCGACATTTACATTTGCGTGTTTGGCCCTGCTCTGCGTATATTAATTGTATTCTAACCAAGCCGGAATATTAATAGCTTGTTTGGGAATTACACCCGGATGAGTCTGCGGCGGCTGTCATCTGTTGTTCGAAACGGTTGCCCTCATCATTGTTGTCGACGACCTGACTAAGACCACAAATACGTACACATACATTAACCAAGGTAAGGTCGTCCTCTATAGAGTTTCTTAGCCGCTACTAATTCACTTGTTCTATGGAGTTAAAAATGAAATTGTCTTAATTACCAGATGGACAAACAATGCGTAGCAAATCTTTGAAAAGCCAAAAAAAAAAACACCCGTTCGTTGTAATCATAAATCAAGCAACAAAAATCACTTACATTGTTTGTTCAGACATACATAGATGAAGCTTACAAAAGTGGCAGCCAATGTGGCAGCGTCATCGACAGCTGCAGCCGCCAAACAAAAACAATAAATCTCAACACCAACTCAGATTTTACAGCCCAAGTACTAACGGGTGTCTATATACTTATGTACGAATACTCATGCGATCTTACACTAAAAAAAAAAACAAGAATGCAACTGAGTCCAAAAAATTAAAACATTCCGAACTTAGAAAAAACCTTAGAAAATGTTTGAGTTAATTTTTAAAAATTAATTTGTTCCAAAATAAACATTTTTCATCATTTTAACCGCATACATTTTTATCGGTTTTATTTCTATGCTTTTGAGTGCAATAGTTGAGGAAAAGCAGCTACTATATAACAAGAGCTGTTTACGGCTTAAAATATTATGTCTTTCCAGTTTGGTTAACTTTTACACCTCCCGACATCTTGGCTTTCATACAGAAGGACAAAATATACTCAGTATACTGATCAAGAATATACCGGCTTTCTAGATTTCGCCATGGCTTTTACTTAGTGTTACTTACTCGTACATTCCCACTAACTTTGTATACGCTTTTAACCTTTGCGTAAGGTACAAAATTATATAAACTTAAAGTATAATTTTTACAAATTGAAATTCCAAAAATATTTAAAATTTGTTTAGTTTAACAAACTCACAGCTAAAATATAAGCTGTAATATAAATTCATGTATGTGTGCCATAGTTTAGTTCTCAATCATTTCTTCCTAGGATGTGAAGTGTTCATAAGCTACTTGTTATATCTAAAGCGCTGCAGTAAGTTGATATTCCTGCTATAAATAAGAAGTAAAGTGTCTATTTAATTAAATTAAATTTTTTGTTTATTATTTTATTTTTTATTTCATTGTTTATTTTAATAGAATGTATTGTAATCAATTGTAGTTTCGACCACATTTTGTTTAGTAATTAATTGAGATGACGTGCTTAGAACCAATTATAGGTAACGGGAAAAGAACTGATTTTTGAAAATGTACCCGTTTTTCTCCAAGTGTAAAGATCGTTAAGACATTAATCAAAAGGTAGAGACCCAATAGGTCGCGGCTAGGGCCCGTGCACTCACTGTCCAGTGTCCATATATTGAAATGCAGCGTAATCGAAGGCCACCGAAGACCAGAGACCAAAATGCTTATGTAATTAGTGGCAGCCACACGTCAGTCAATGCCTGCCCCGGCCCAGCGTCTATTCAACACTTCGACGGGCTTGCAACAAAGCCAACAAAAACTAAGTACTTGGGCTCGAAATTGCACAACGACCGCAACAACGCTTCACAGTTTGGGCCCCAAATGTGGCCTAATGAAGCAGCAGTGAGCAAATCGAGGGGGCTAACTCAATTTATTGACTAAGCCCGCATGACATATTGACTAAATGACTGATGTGCGTTCCTACTGACTGAATGAAATGTCTAGCTGTCTGACTGACTCAGTGACCGAATGTTGCGACGCAGAAGCTCAAGACTCGACGACATCTTGTGGGAATTGAACCCCTCGCTGTTTGCAGCGCACACCGCTCATATTTGCTTGGGCCTAGTGTTAGCGAAGCCGCCAACACCTTGAATGCTCCAAGTATGGCGAATGCTGGTTGCCGTTGCAATTGAAATTGCTGTCTCAAGTGCTGTTATGGGTTTATATGTATGTATATATAGTCATTATGGGTTTATAGAGTTGAAACCATAAAGCAAGCAGTGTCGCAGTCTTCGGTCTACGCGCTCAGAATTTCCGCCTGCTCGGCCGCAACTGCAACCCCGTCTGTAACGCTGACGGTACCGGCGACTGCGACTGAGCTTAGATTTATGACCGCATAATGATTGTTAGTGCGCCCCCAGTTGATTGATTTGACCTAGCGAGCGAAGAGCTTAAAGCCGCGGCGGCGCACCGACAACACTAGCCTCTGGGACGTTGTGACAGGTGGCGCCTGGCGGTGGCTGCACTTGAACCGCTGATATTTGGCCAAAGCAAATCTGCTAGCGACCGTCGCCATGAATCTTGGCTCGTCGACAGCTGTCAGAATTGAAGCAATAGAAGGTCGGATGGGTTGGACATTGACCGATGTTGCCACCGAACGAAACTGCTTTAGTGTGGATAATTGGTTTGGCGTTGATTTTTATTCGAAACGATTTACAAAAGTGGTTCTCAATACAAACAATGTGGCTAAGAGTGGGGGAAAGGAAAATATTTCCAAAATTGCATTGGTTCAGTGGTAGTGGTCGTTCTCTCTAGACTAAGAATACTTAATATGGTGTAGAACCGTTGAACGGCGGCTACTAAAAGGTGAACGGCCTAGCGGGCTTATTGTAATTGTATCCGTCAGGACCCAGTGAACCAGCATCAGGAATAGTCGGCTGTGGCTCAGGATAACTGGGTGAGGGCGGTGCAGGTGGTGCAGGAGGGCGGGGCTGATACGAGGGAGGTGCTGGAGGAGCCGGCGGTGCAGGTGGGCGTGGCTGATAGGTGGGTGGTGCAGGAGGACTAGCTGGTGGACCATATTCCGGCTTAGGTGCTGGGGGTGCTGGTGGTGCAGGAGGACGTGGCTGATAGGTGGGCGGTGCTGGAGGACCAGAAGGTGGGCCATATCCTGGCTGAGGCACGGTCGGTTGCGGCTTTGGTGGCGTTACTTCGTTTTCACCTGCTGGTGGTAAGTATTCCGCTCCTGGTTGCGGTGCCGGTGGCTGTGGACGTGGGGGTTGAGGGCGTGGCGGCTGAGGACGTGGTGGCTGTGTTTGAGGTGGTCCATATGAAGGAATGGGAGCAGAAGGTGCAGGTGCTGGTGGTTGTGGTTGTGGTTGTTGTGGCGGAACATATCCAGGTGTGGGCTGGGGACGTGGTTGTGTGGGTGTTGGTGCTGGGGGCTGTGGACGTGGAGGCACTGGACGTGGCTTGGGTTGGTCTGGTGGCAAGTATTCCGGACCTGGCTGTGGTGCAGGAGGTTGAGGACGTGGTGGTGGTGGTGGTGGTGGTTGAGTTTGCGGTGGACCATAGGAAGGTGCAGGTGCTGTGGGCACTGGTTGCGGTCGTGGTGGAGGTGGTTGCGTCTGTGGTGGGCCGTACGACGGCGCTGGCTCTGATGGCACAGGCTGTGGGCGGGGCGCTGGTGGTTGCGTTTGTGGTGGCCCGTAGGAAGGTCCTGGAGCTGCGGGCACAGGCTGAGGTCGTGGCGCCGGTGGTTGTGTTTGTGGGGGGCCATACGAAGGCACTGGAGCCGTGGGTGCTGGTCCAGGAATCAGGCCCGAGTCGTCAATGCCGTTGCCCGAGGGCGCCGATGGAAAAGGCACCGACGGCTGCTTATAGTGGTAGCCATCCTCCCGCAGGTCCGTGTCCAGATGCGAGACATCCGCATGGACGGCTGCTGCAGCGAGCAGCGCTACTAGGGGCAGTAGAAAGCGCTGCGAATAAAGCGACAATAACAGTACTACTTGTAGTGTCAATAAATGCTGTGATTATAGTATTCGCGGACCTTTGGCCGCAACTGACTGCGGTTCCCGGTTCGTTGTGCCAGCATTGGGCAAACAAATCGCTATGCACTTAATCAACTGCATTATACGTGTACTTGCGACTCACCATGTTCTTTTTTAAAGCAGCGCGCTTAATCCAAATGAGCGGTTCAGTTTGATAGTTTTTCCGAATTTTCCGCACACATACACACACACACAACGATTGGTTACCGGTTTGCACAGACGTTATGTGCACACGAATATTTTCACGACTAGCAGGGACTGAGTGAGACGAGCGCTGTTGAGGCAGCCGGCGAAGTCTTCTTTGCAAAATCAGAAAATCGAATGATGCCCAAATGTTCTCCCTTGGCGAATTTATATGCGGTGGCTATGCCTGTGGCTGTCGTAGTCGCAGCCCCTAAGCTCGTAGCGCCGAAACTCACTCAATAGACGCCAAAGTTTTGAGACAGCTTTTTGCCCACCAGCCAACTGGTTTCTTTCAGTCGGCGTTCAGCATCAGCATCAGCATCAGCTTCGTCGTCGTCATCATCATCATCATCGTACAGGTTGAATATAGTTGAATATAGTATATCGTGTACATCGTCGTGATGCTGCAATGCTTGTTGCCGCTGTAAGTCAATACCAACGGCCACTAATTCTTGTTGTGCTTAGGGCTTTTTACCTGAGCCTGAGTCAGTGACTAACAACTCATAACGACTATGTGAGGAGCAGAACCAGGAACTCATACATAGCTAATCAAGGTGTTCATCTGTTTATAGTCATAAGCAAATACTTATCAATCATTTGTTTTTTGTTTTGTTATGTGCCTGTAAATTTAATAAAGGCAAGCAAATAAATAGTTGAGGATGGCTGCCGTTCTTTTTGTCCACAATTTTTGATTGATGTGCGAAATTCGCGCTGTATTATTTGCATATTTTTAGACATTTCTAATCATAGCTATAGACGCAATATCGCCGACATGAATAATGTGACGGGCCGTCCCTTCTTTTCGATCTGGGAAGACGTGTGCCAGGCGGATGGGAATTCAAAATCGTGTTAGAGGCTGCTTATATAACGACTTGACAATGACCAAATGGGCTGCGATGTAGTTGTTATATTATTTATACGGTAGTTGGCATGTCACACCATCTTTCTAACGCCAACTGGTGATATTGCTGCTGCTGCTACTGTCACTATCGATTAATAAATACACTAATTAAATGAGCGTTGTACGCGGCGTATGCGCAATGTTCAAAGAGAACTGCATTTGTGTATTGATTATGAGTGTTTTTGTTTTTTAATTAATTAACTTTGCATTTTTATTGGATGTGGATGTTGTTTTTTCTTCGCTTCAGTTTGTTTTAGCTGGATGTGTCTGTCTACAAGTTTGTGTTCTGCTGTTGTCTTTTGTTGTTTTGTGGGAAGCACTTAAAAATGGTCTGCTCTTGCAATTTGTTGAGAGTTCTCTTAGGCATTAATATTTAATTACTTAAATGTCTAACATAACAAGTTGAAAAATCGTTGCTAATGTTTGTTTTTTATTGCTGCGCTTAAGCTAAACATTCTTGCGTTTTTATTACATAATTTATTCAAAATTAAAAATTACACACAATTCCGCTAGTTCATGTTGTTGCTTGGTGACTTTTCGTTATTTACTAATTTGTTAATTTATTAATTTCTTTAATCTGTTTGCTTTATTGTGTATGTGTTTGATTTGCGTGTGTGAATTAATATTCTATGCTGTTTTAAGTTGCTGTGACACATCAGAACCTAACCCGCAATTTCCGGGCATTGGCCAGTTCATTAACCAGACGCTTAATTTAGTTCGTGTTTCTACTACGCAATTTTGCCTTCAATTTATTATTGTTTTTGTTTATTTATTTTTGAATATTAAAATCTAAAAATCCATTTAAATTGTTAATATTTGTTTTTTGCTTTCTCTGCTTTTCATTTTCGTTTATTGTTGCGTTTGCAATGTTTAACCTTTTACTTCGCCGCCCAGTCTTCGACACTGGCGCATCGTCTACTTTCCGCGATAGATCTCAATGATACGATCCTGATCCACGTACTCGAAGATATGTGGCGCATCCATCAGGATGCCAACGGTTCCCGCCGTGGTTACTATGAAGAAAATATAGAGCTGCAAGCGATCGATGACCATAGCCACATATTTCCAATCCTCGCGCGTCTGTCAGCAAAAATTGTACAGTTAGTAATATTTTATTTATGTACCACATTTTTTGTGTTTGTTTATTATTGTTGCAAGAACATCAAATGAATTGAGAGTACTGAACTAGTTCCTTAAGGTTTATAAGATGAGCAAAATCTGCATATCGATTATACATAAATATAATACTATGAGAATGTGTGTGCTGCTTGGAAAACTATTAACTGATTCGTGCATTGATTGACACAACAAATGCAAATATAGTTTGCTCTCATAAATTAATCGTCAATTTAAGATAATAAAAGAATAAATAAATACGAGTTGAGCTCAGCAGAGAGATAAAGTAGATAAATTGGAAAATAATATTATTAATTTAATTCGTCCATCGAGGTCCGAATACGAGATGGAGTTATGAAAAATGATCTACTTAGTTAAAACAGATTTGTTTATTTCAGTTTTTTAGATGCGTTACTTGGCCATATCTGCACCCCACATTTTGTTGGTGCTATCATAGGACTGCGGTGGTAATAGAAGGCATCACAATAGGCAGTAGTGTCTCGGTCTACTGACGAGACATATTTCAGAACAACCGAAAATGATGAATTGGCGAATGCCTAACAAGCCGAATAATAACCAAGTTACTGCACATTTTTTAGATAATCTAAGTGGCTTTATTAAAATCAGAGATACATGCTGAAAAAAATCAATTCTTCCAGTAGGAAGAATGGAAGACCAAAGTTATAGGTAAGTTAATTACAACCACAATGGGGCGATTTGTCGTCAACAACGTTTTTTAAAATGTTAAATTTGTTGAACTCATATCTGATCAGAAATCTCTTATAGACGCGATATTTGGAATAGTCTGTATATGACCGAAATCTGTCTGGCGATTTTGCAATATTAATATTATTAATACTTATGCGATAGCAGAAGAAAAAAGAAGAAGTAGAAGAACGATCCCCCGTCTGCAGCTGGTGGGAAAAGTACTGCAGTGAAATTGTTTAATTACTTTTTTTTTTTGAACTAACCGATTTGTATGAAATTTAAACTAAAGGTACAGAGCGGTATTGACGAAATTCTGTAGCGGGACAACGGAAGATGCTGACTAAGAATATATATACATCTAATTATGATTTTACACAGTCTTTCTTTGCACGATTTTGATATAATACGGTTTGGAAATTAAACATTTCATATATATTACTTTAGAGATGAGGAACCAATCAACTATTTTTACATATGATCAATGGAATGGTTTCTGGAACCAATATAGAGTGTAAAACAGAATTAGGTGTACTTTACGAGGTCGGAGATGCTTTCAAGCCCAATATACAATTTATACCCTACGGGTACAGGTTATAGAAATGTTATCAAGTAAATACCAAATCTTCCAAGTGCCTTGTGAAAGCTAAGTTTATATATTCCGAGTACACTTCACGGACTTTCCAGTAACTTACCTGAATGTAGAGATCCTCATTTCGCAGATGCTCGGCTATGAACTCCACGGCTTCGGTGGCCTTACTGGCCTCCGGCGAGAGCAGAATCGAATCGGAGGATTCACTCTCACGTCGACAGCCATCGCCCAGACCCAGCTCGGCGCCGCTGTTCACCTTACGATTAATTTTGCAATTGGGATGGTGAAGATCCGATAGCTCCATGACCTCCATCTTGGACTGCTTGCCTCCGATCGCGCTGATATGCTTGGGCAACTCGGCGGGCGAGCCATATGAGGGATGCGGATGTGCAGGCATGCTCATGCCAGGCATTTCCATCATCCAGCGTAGGCGGGTTTTTCGTGGGCGCTTCATGAACAGAAATGCGGGCAGATAGTGAAGAAACACAGAACGTATCCACATGGGCATGCGATGTGTGCGCGGCCCACGGAAGTTCCAATTGATAATGATGACCGTCACCAGAATGGAGACCGTGTTCATGATGAAGGTGAACAGCAGATACTTGGCGATCAGCGGCAGCACGAGCGATGTGGGCGGCAATATTTTCGACACAAGCAACAGGAACACAACCAGTGACAGCAAAATACTAATGCCCAACGTGACCTTGCGTTAAAGAGTGGGTTAATAAGTGACAAAAATAAAAATGAAAATAGAGTGTAGCTCCTGTTTTACCTTCTCGCCGGCCTCGGCTGGCAGGTAGAAGACGAGCACGCAAAGGAATGAGATCAGCACCGTTGGCAGTATCAAGTTGACCGTATAGAAGAGTGTCTTACGACGTATAATGATATAGAAAGTGATGTCCGTCTCTGTGGGATGGTTGCTGTCGCCTTCATATACATTGAGGTAGGCGGGCACCTCGATGATGTCCCACGTACCCGATTTCCAGTAGTCAGACAGATCCACAAAGTTCTTATTGTTGTATAGGGCTAATGAGACCTGATCGCCGTTGAACGTCCATGAGCCGAACTTCATGATGCAGGTTTGTTGATCGAAGGGGAAGTAGGTGACATCTATGGTGCAGGAGCTCTGGTAAATGGCCGGTGGAACCCACAGAACCTCGCCGGTGGGATAAATCAGCACGTTGGACTTATAGCGCACCTCGTAGTTGCCGTCGGCACTGAGACCGGAGAGCAGAGAAACAGGATTAGTAAGGCTAATAGTGTGTAAGGCAGTGTGTAATTAGCTAGTACGATTATTGCTAAGTATATTTACGCCTACATTGGTGTAGTGTACTTAGCAGAGAGAGAGAGAGAGATAGAGTAGGGAGTTGGAGTTATCAAAGCCGTTTACTCACTTATTGAAGAGCACAATGTCCGGTTTCCAAACCTTATCGGGCGGCAGACGGAGCACGCCGATGCCGCCGTAATCAGCCTCATCCCATTGCAGCTGATAGTCGTACCAAACCAAACGTAACCAAACGTTTGATTTCATAATTTGATTTTTCTCATTCTTGGTTTCAATTGTTCAGTAGTTTGATTGGTTGAGTGGTTGAGTGGTTGATAACGAAACGGTTTTATCGGTACGGTTATGGTTCGTACGGTACGTTACGGTTATAAATAGATCGATATGAGTTTTTCGATTTCGATAGTGATTTTGATTGTTTGATTGTTTGATTGATTGATTGATTGATTGGTCGATTTTGTTGTTTTCGGGGCGTTCGAACAAATTTACGTACGCATCATTGAGAGTGGGTGGTAGGAAGGGAGGTAAGTCATTAGTTGCATTTGCATCACATAGATATGTAGTAGTAGTAGTAAGTAATTGGTTGTTAGTTAGTATTTCTAGCACGCTTAAATCATAGCATTAAGTTTCACTACAAACATACAAAGACGACAAGTCAAGACAACGTGTAATTATTTACAAAGCATAATCGAAACTCAAAATGGCTGGCGACGCGACACAAACGCCCAGTAACGGCGAAGTCAATGGCAGCGCATTCAGCCACAGCCACAGCCACGCCCACTGGTGTGAGTGGGCGGGTGGAGAAGTGGACTGGTGGGCTTCCGTTGACCTCGCCGACTGGTGGCCTGCGTCGATGCGTCGAGTGGTGCTTGGCAAGTGGCATGTGGCATGTGGCAAGTGGCAAGTGGCAGCAATGAACTTAAGAATCGTTTGGAACACAACTCGAACTCGAAATGGAACTCGAAATTACAGTTACACGCTACTAAACTTTGTGATGCTTATTAATTGTTATTAGTATTTTTGTTTTGTTATATGTTTTGGATCTTAAGGCGAGTGTGTTTTGTTTGACAAATTTTGTTTTGAACACTTACGACATTGATTAGCTGTACGAACGCCAAACCAAATCTTACTCCAACTTTTTGTGTCATATTCTGTACGGGTCGTATGAGTTTATTGTAGCCTCGAAAGAGGTCACGCACCAGGCGCTCTTCATCTTCGGATGCACTGACTAAATACAACAAAAATACACGAAAGGCCAAATCAAAAGCAAAATACGAGTAAACAAAACAGTAGTTCCAAAAGAGTGGTAGACGGGAACGTAAACGGAATTGGAAACGATATAGAAACAAAGAATGGAACGGATGAGCAAATTTGTTGTATTTCTTGTTATTGTAATTTTTGTTTTTATGATGACAATAGCTTAGACAGTTAGAGAGAGATAGTTAAATAGTTTATATAGACAGCGAGGGAAAGACAGTGAGACAGAGAGAGAGAGAGAGTGAGAGTGAGAGTGAGAGAGATAGGGAGGCAGAATGCGATAGATTGAGATCTTATACCGATTGCTCTTGAATTGCAAGTAATTTTGTTGATAAAACTTGGAAAAATTAAAATGACGACACATGGCACATGGTTTTGTGTCTGAGTTTGTGAATGTGTGTGTACGTGTATGTGTGTGATTTGCCGTGTGGTTGATTACGTGGAGAAGACGCCGCGTCGAGCGCATTTGCATTAAAAAGACTGTGCCCGCCAGAGTCCTAGTCTAGAGGATGGATACGAAAGGGTGGGACTGGCGAGCACAGTTGCCGCTTTAGTGCAAAGGCGCCCTTGACTTTACAGTCCTAGACCCTAATACATATATACACAGAGCTAAAGTTTTTTTTAGTAATTGTGTGGGTGTGTGTGTGTGTGTGTGGGTGTGGGTGTGCATTCCAGTTCCAGTAATGGCTTACCAAAGTAGAAGACTTATACGAGTACGTTAAGCAAAGAGTCTTACGCTATGATCACGCATTCAAATAATTTACACTCAAATTAGTGTTATTCTACAAGTAGGCATAAAGGTGAATCAGCAAGTTCAAAATTGATTGGTTTCGATCATTGTATTCCTGACATTCTTGTGAAATTCGAAAAATTGGTGTGCATATTATTTGCATGCCTAACCATATACTTGTATTTAGAATACTTTACATTAAAACATTGATATTCCAGGTAACCGAATAATTAAGTTTGCTGATAGAAGTTTCTCAAAACTCTCGATAACAGAGAAGCAGCCAAACAATTGTTCCCAGTATGAGTGCACAAATAAACTCTTGTGTGAGTGCCAGATACAAATGAACTCAAGGTAGTGCCCTTCAGAAGCATAGTATTTCTAACTAACTAATCAAAGTGTAGTCAGATCCTATGCCAAATTGCACGAAGGGTTCAATTCAGAGGACAATGACAGCAATGTGGGATGATTTTTTGACAGCTGTGACGTTACAAGTTTATCCGACAGCACATCACTTGACAGCGCGGAGAGCGCAGCCTACAGTTGCGATTTGGGAGAGCAAAAGGCTGACAGCGAAAAAGAGCGAGGGAGAGTCAGAGAGAGAGAGGGAGAGAGCAAGTCAACGGGATGTTTATGCTGATGCTGATGCCGAATAGAGCAACTGTAGGGCATGGCAATGGTCCCATGCTTGTTTTGGGGAGCTACATACAATGACCGGGTTATGCTCGTCTAGAAATGTGTGTGTGGGGAGGATGTACAAGTATGTATGTGTATAGTATGTGTGATACTTATATAGAGCAAAATTTGCTGCTGATTCGACTTTAGAGTGGGATCTGGGTTTGGGGGTTTCAAAGTGCAGTTACGCTATATAGTATGTTGTGTGAGAGCTTGTGTGTATGGTTCTTGATATATGTATGTACGTTTTTTTTTATTCCATTACCAAAGTGCTCTACACCTACACTTGCGCCTAAAGTACGCCCCTTTTTGGTTTTTGTAAGTAGTATGTACATGTGTTTTGATTTCCTAAGGTTTCGTGACTACTTTACTTTTCCTCTACTGGACTGCTCCGGAAGAGAAGGAGTATGAATTAAGATTCGGCAGTTGATACAGAAATCTTTTGCAACATTTTTGGTTCGTTCTTAATTATTTTATTTGTTCCTCGTCTTGGTGTGTGTACCCTACGCGACGCACAAGGAGGTTTTCGCTACGCTTTGCATTAATTCACTAATAGTAGTAGTTGTAGTAGTAGTACGAGTAGAAGTAGATTTAAATAGGAAAATTCTTAATTACAAAAGCAAAGTGGTAAACGGTAAATGGTAATTGGTAATTTGTTATTGGTTGGCAGATAGCAAAAAGTATTGGCAATGGTTGTGGTGGGTGGTGACAGATAGGTATGCAAATATAGTAGTAGTAGTAGTATCAGTAAGTAGTAGTTATTCAGTATTAGTAGTAGTAGTAGTAGCATAGGTAGTAATATTAGTAGTAAGTATGGCAGTTTAAGCTGCTTCGAGTGTTTTATTATAGTAGCAAAAACTATGCTAATTACGAGTAGGTAGGCAGAATGGCAAAGTAGTTAGGCAAGAGAGTATACGTATATAGCGCTTTAGTGGGTGCTAATTACTTAAATGGAAACTACTTTTTTTTTGTAAGATTTTCGCCTTGACCCGAGAGCGAAACTCTTTGGAGGTGAGCATGAGCTCGGCTTTGTTGGCTTCTAGGCATGAATAGGCTAATGCTACTAAGGTTATTATTAAATGCGAGTATATATATTTTAAGATATATATATGTAGATATATGTACGAGTATGTATCTATATATGTATATATTTAAGTATTTATATAGTTTTGACTTTGATTAGCGCAGTCGTTGGTTAGTTGTTGGTTTTGCTTTTTGACAGCGCTGCAGCAGCGACGCCTTGGCCAACTCACTCCCCAAGCCTCGTGCAGTCGCAGTCGAGAGTCGAGTGTGTGGTTGATGTTGTGCGCCCAACGCCTGCTGTCGTTGTTGTTGTTGGTTGGTTGGTTGGTTGGTTGTTGGTTGTTGGTTGGTGGGGTATTATTGGGTGGTTTGGTTGCACACTTGGAGAAGCTGCCAAGGCGGCGCTGCTTGCGCCTTTCATAAAACGTAAGAAAAAAATCAAATCATTGCTGTAAAATTCGATTTGAAGCGTTTTAGCGTTGCTTTCGCATTCAGCAGTTTTCGGTTGGGATTTAGAAATTATTAGCACATCATTTTCATTTCACATACACGTAAATGTATGTGTATAGTATTTATATAGGTATATGCATATTACATAATGACCCCACACAGAGAGTTGCAGCTTCGCCTGCCACGCGGGCCCCCAATTTACGCACCTGAGACAGTCAATAGCAGGCCCACAAGGATGCTGGACAGCCACAATGTCGGGTCCTGGAACTTCATTTCGCGATATCCTTTGCTGCTGGTGACCTTCTACTTATTGCTGCGGCCAGGCATAGTTGATAATCAATTAGTAAGGGGCGCTTCGTCAGACGCCCCGCCCTACGGTTGTGGAAAATTCAATGGTATCCAGGTCCAAGACTACAGAATCAACACTTCACCTTAATTCCACTGAATTTTTTCAATTTTTTCAGCTGCTTTTCAGACTTTTCCATGCACTTTTACTTGCTGCTGCCCTTAACTCTACAACTTTTCCTTTGGCAGTTTGGGTGCGGATTAAGAACTCGACTTCTGGATTCTGGATAAAATCAATGACATTGAGTTCTGAGGCGCACAGCATCACAACGCAGGCGCTCTCTCTGGCGCTCCCCGTGGTGGATAACTGAGTGAAGAGAGCAGCGAGGGTTGCTTACTCTCTTGCTCTTTGCCAGAAGTTTGTAAACAAAAGCAGAGACACTTGGGGTGGGTTTCCTCATCCCCATCTCACTTGTTTGCTATTACGAAAGCACAGCTGTTGGCTGATTTGTTTATATTTTCCACACTACACGTGGCCACAGTCTGGGCTAAAAGTAATGCAACCGCCCCCTACTCATACTCCTATTTCGTCAATGCACACAAGTTGAAGTTCAGTCTTAATTTAATTTTAGTTATGAGTTTTACTGGCATTCATACATACATACATACATACCATACATATATACATATACTACACTCGCTTCAATTAGAGTGAGCTTGAACTTGAAGGCCCATTGGGCGTTCATAGCCTTTATCATTTGTTTGCGGTGCGTAATCACCAACACCTATGAGCCGTTGGCGCCGCCTTTTCCTGTTGGCCATGAATTTCATTGTTGTTTTTTTTTTCCAGTAGGAACTAAATACTTATCGCGCATCTATTAAATACAAGTACACATGTATTTCCATGTAGTAATTAATTTGTTTTGACCTGTCAACAGCAAGGCGCCTGTAATGGCATTTTAGAATGACAGTGCACATTGGGCTACAATTAGCAGAAGGCTGCAAATCTATTTAGCTACTGATTGATGGTGTAAAAAAAGCAATGAACTAAAAACCAAATCGAATAAAAACCATGCACACCGCAACACGGATTTTCGGGTGCGATTCGTATATTTCTTGGGAGTGCTTTAAGCTCAAGAACACAAACAATACCTTACTTTTAATGTTGGTTTTCTGGTCTAACATTTGAAAAGTTTGTAAGTTGTTGAGCGATTTGGGTTTAGGATAAGTGTTTTATTTATAGTACATATAATATCATTTTCCTTCCATAAGTTTGTATTGAAAGACAAATCATTTAATGCCATATAAGGGTAAAAAGTGTATGCATTTTTTTTACCATTCGGGTACAGGGTTGTTTTATTTTATTTATTATTTTGTAATGTTGGTTTTTTTTTAGGTGTAGGTGCAGGGTTCTTAAGAGGGCCCGCTCAACTCTAGTTTAAAGAGTTTTTTTTTTGTATTTATACATTTAAATGGAGAAGAAGAGTTGTGATTCTTTGAGAATCTTACAGGGTTTTGGTTTATTTGTAATCTTAAAACATTTTTTTAAAGATATTCAATGTGAAACCTTGCCAATGAAGAGCAATACATAGACAATTGATACGACATACATGAGTAATGTAAAGTTTTATAAAAACAGAAAAAAAGTCCTGAAATCGCATAACCATTTAGAAATTCGCCCTTTAAATACAAAAAAAAAAAAAAAAAAAATTCAAAACATCCTACATTTTAGGTAAAAGGAAGTGATGCTTGCTCTACAAATCAGGGAGATCAAAAATTATTCTGTAGAAATGCGTTTTCTTACAGCTACTGGCGTTTAGCGGTGATTTTTCCGCTGCTGCTATTGGAAGCTGAAATGAATTGGCTTTGTAATTTGAATTTGTGGGTAACTTCCGTGCTTGTTGCTTGTCCATTAATTTGATGCACTGCAGTAAGTATGGAGTTTCCCAAGAACAATGGCGGGTGGCCAAATGGCAGACAGTCGTCTGTATGGTCTGGGTGACACAAACAGTTAAAAATTCGCACAAGGCGCACACATCGATGAACAACTCATAGATAAACACAGTGTGTGCATTATCCAATATGAGCCCAAGACGTTTGGTAATGAAAGCATATTTTAGCATTGTTGATGTTGCTGGCTATAGCTGTGGCTGTTGTTGGTGATGATGATTTTCATATGTATGTTCATACGTATGTGTCTATGACAGCGCAATACAATGCGACAGAGCCAGAGTTAAACAATCGCACTGGCAAACGAAACGAAAGACTCAGGCCACGAACGTGCGGCCGTATAAAAAAGTTATGAGACATGTGGCAGCAATGGCGGCAGCAAAAACATTGCTAAGGTCGCCTCTATGAATAAAAACTCAATAGATGCTGTTAATCTGGTCTTTTTGCTGTTGTTGTTGTTGTTGTTGTTGTTGTTGATGCCGCTGCCACTGCTTCTGCAAGGTGTCATTTTGGTGTCACCGAATTACTGGAAACGTGCGGCAACACAAGCGCAACAAAAGCAAACCAAACCAAAACGAAACGCCAACGCAAATTACACAAATGCATAAAGTTAATTGTATTGTATCTTAATAAATTTTTATTTAATTATGTGTGCTTCGACTGCATTTAATTGAAACACTTTTGGGCACACTCATCGTAATAATTGTCATCTGCATCTTCATCTTCATCATCTTCGGTTTCAAGGCCAACTGCTCTGCTCCGGCAGCACGTATACGTGTCAGTGGTGGTGCTTGGCCCAAAAAGTTCGCGGTGGTCCCAGGGCGACACCTTTGGGTAGGGCTGGATGTGCAGGGTGTGGTTAAACGGTTATGCCCTAAGCGTTACGCTCGAAGCGTGCGGCTATGCATGCCTAATGGTTGCCAACTCAATTTACAAACACTGGAATTCCCCGCTGTGGACCAGCAGCTGCTGGTTTGTTTGTTGTTCAGAAGAAACAATCGAAAGTTATTATTTTTGTGACACTTTAGCCAACAGACAATATGAAGAGTAATGCGTTGTCTGCCTTATGAATATCTCGGTTTCCATAAGAAAGTAATACGGTAACAATAAGTTTGTGATTTACATGAGATTAAGTTCATTATGAAACAAATTTGAATAATTCGACCCAATGTATTTGTTTTTCGACTTGCATTTGAATTGAATAAGAAAAAGGAAAATTATTAAAAACGAACTATCAAGATATCTGTGCGCTCAAGTTATATATCTCACTGTGTTTTCGACAATAACTGAATTCCTCTGCGATCTTACGCTATGCGATCTACATATACTTGTATACTGGTATCTTACTGTTCTGTTACTATCAATTTTTTCTTTAAAACGCATTGTCAACAGGGACGAAGAACAATCAGACATGACATGACATGACAAGTCCTTTCTTCAGTTATTATTTTGCTCAATCAAAACACTCACCTGCGACGCCAAAGTTCATAATTTATTTTAGAATTAAAGACAACTGACCTACATATGTATTACGTACCAACCCGATATGGAGCGAATAATAGACTGGTCGTTTATTTATTAAGCTAAGGGACTTAGCTTTCCGATCTCTACCACTCTTAATGATTTTGGATCGTCGTGCTTCGGAGAATTAAAGACGACTGACCTATGTATTACTTACCAATCCGATATGGAGCAAATAATAATAAACTGTTCTTTTATTTATTTGGTTAAGGGACTTAGCTTTCCGATCTCTACCACTCTCAATATTTTTTGAGTTCGTCGTTCCTTGGAGATATATTGGCTGCAGGGTATAAACTTATATTAGAGATTTTTACGCATAGCTTTCTGTGTCAAGTTCCACTAATACTTGTTTTACAAGAAAGTACCACTGTAGAATAATTTTAAATCTATTGACACCTCTACATTATTTGATGGAGAATTGTAAACTGAGATTAAAATAGGTTGTACGCCAAAGAAATGAAACTTAAACATTACTTTGTTGGTGTTTTTTCGATATCTGTAAGCCTGTGACTCTGGCATTTTTCCATCTCAGTCAAATGATAAGCAGGTATTTGTCTTTATATTCGCATTAGAGCTGCAATTAATCATAAATATGTATATAATTCGCATGATACATTGTATGCTAATGTGCTGTGGGAAGACAAAACATTCAAATGTAATACGATACGATAAAACATGGCAGGCTTTAATGTTTGTTGCTATTGTTGTTGTTGTTGTTGTTGTTGTTAACGTTCCGATTGTCTCTTTCTCAAAGTGCTTGTTGCGCACATTAAACCAATCAGCATGGCTAAATAAATTAATTAGCCATGGCAATTGGGCACGCGGCTCTTTGGCTGAACCCATACTCGTATGTACTTGTATGTGTATGCTCGTTGGGCGAATATATGTATGTATGTGTATGTGAGCTAATGTGGAAAACCGAATGATTTCGTGTTAATTTTTACACCAATGATTCTTGTGCAAAACGTTTCGCATATGCCAAAAAGTTTCGACAATGCGGCGTGAAAACTGAACAAAAACTCAACTGCAGAAGCGACAACAGCAAAAAACATGCAAATAAAATTAATATAAACTCACAAACGTGAAATGAGCAACTTGGGGCAGCAGCAGCAGCAGCAGCCGAAAGTTGCACAATTAGCAGCAGTACAACAACAATAAAAACACTTTGGCAGTTGCGAGTTGGGCAACATAAAAAGTCCTCAACCATATTAGCAACACTTTTGAGTAGGCTTCTAGGCCAGCGGGGCGAGCTGTTGGGTTTTGGGGCACCGTATGCGGCGCACCGCAGCTCTCAAAATTTATGTCAAACTCGCCGAGCAACAACAGCAATAATAGCAACAACAGTATCGAAGCGTCAGCTTAGAAAATCATGCGGCAAAGCGCACGACCGAAGAGGCAAAGTCAATAAATCTAACACGTTATGTCGGCGACTCGTACGAGCATATGCCAGACAACAATAGATATAGACGGGCTATAAGTAACTCTGGCTAGGCATCATTTAGCTGTAAACATACCCACCCATGAGGAAGAGACTGCTTCCTCATGTGACCACAGCGTGCCACTGCATAAGCAAATAAATCGAAGTGCCACACCACTTAAGTTCAAGCATTTGCTTTTTAATGCAAGCCTAAAGGTATACTTCCTATACTTGTATTCACACAGCTTACCCTGCAGTACCAGCCATGGTGCCTTTGCTGACCAGAGACAATATTTTGATTATTTTATTTTTCATCGACAAACAATGCAGTCGATGTACATAAAAAGAAAATCAATACAAT